AACCTAAATGTGCTTTTGCTTAATAAAACTTCATTTTACGGAATCTTTTTTTCTAGACGTTGAATCTTAGTTTTATTTACACGATATTGTTCCTACATGTTGTCCCTACGTCGCCTTGGTGTCATTATATATATATAAACTGCAATAATTTTGTTATTGTCGTCAGATGACAGTTGTATATGCCCAAATTAGTAAAATTTTTAATTTTTTTTTGTTCTCGATATGAAATCGTACAACGCGATGTAGATTTTTGTGCATACTTTAATTCTAGACCAAAAACTTGCAATTCTGTAAAGCCAATTCAAAAATTCCTTAAAATGAAAAAATGTCGGTAACTACCGCCACTATAGGATCCCCTTAATATATTTTTTTTGTTCCGGTAACAAAATATTTCATTTTTTATATATCAACAAATAGTTTTTGCGTCAGTAACAAAATTTTGTTTGCTAATACAAAACGGGGGGTGTAGCTCTCGGCATATGCAGGTTTTTTGCTGCCGACGGCGAGCAGAAATTGGTTTCTTGTGTGCTTGTCACCTTTATGCTAATATTTTGGTGACAAGTCCGTTTGGGCCCTAACCTAACTTTTTATACGGTGATCGGCGAGGAGCCTGTCTTCTTCTTCTTCTTCTTTCTGCTCCGAATGGATTTCCGGTTCCACAGGAACCGTAGTACCACGCTTTATAACAAGAAAACTGGGGGACTATCCGGGGAAATAGTCACCCTTTTGCGTATTTTATCCTTTACTCCTTCTCCACGTGTCGATAAAGAAGAGAGCCAAGCTCCATATCAATTAGTTATAAATCGAACTTACAATCACTCAAAAATTTATAATCACATTTACGATATTCTTGTTAAGGTTGTTAAATAAATATACGATAGAAAAAAGTGCCAAAAGTTTACGTTTGAATAAGTTATGATAACTTCATTTCTTTCTTTGCAGTATAGCTCGCAGACCAGAATTCGCATAACCCGAATTTAAGCTTAATAACATTAGAAAAAGCATATCCGACAATAATTCGGGAAATAATATCTAGCCAACAACTATCGAAATTAAATTTAGCTAAGTAATATATATCAATTCCTGTCTCGTAAGAATTCTCCATATGAAAGTTACCCGAACCAACAGAACAGAGCACTAAGTAAATCTAATGTGATTATTGCTATTCAAAGCATGATTCAATTTATTTTTTTTTAAATCCGCAATAACGGAGCAAAGTTTACAAAAGTTAAAAGGTTTAGCATTACATAACGTCATAAGGACACTACTCTTACAGTTTCATTGTAAAATTTTCCGAGACCTGATTAAATGTGATTATTTAAATTTACTAAAGATTAAACCGATATATTTTAGCAAAACCGCAGCTTTGTATTTATCTGACTTGCTTGAATTATAGAGAAAACGTAGGTCATGTAATATAATATCAGGAGTAGGGAATGTGCTCGATAAGGACTCGAGGTTAGATTCAACTAAGTTAGGTTTAATGGGAGAAAAATCTCCTTCAAAGTTCAATTCCACAGTGGAAGGACGCATAGTATCGTTGAACGGGGAGTGAGAAACACTTGAGACCACATTATCCGCTCTCTTGGAGCGTATTACTAATACTAGAACTTTCACTCTGAGCCCTTCCCAAGTCGAAACCACTCCAAATCATATAGGCCTGACCCCTGAGCAGATTCACCGCTTGTTGACAGGAATTGATACCTCTAGACCTGATAATTCTCTTCGCCTGAGCGTAAGAGGAATTCGTATATGACATCACAGTATTAATTATCTTATGTAAAAACCGGGCAAGAAAAATCTGTGGAGATATGACCTCCACCGCAATTTACGCACCTAGGATCCGAGTTACAGACTCCAGAAGGATGTTCAAGGCAACATTTATCACATGACTTATTACTTCTGCATGAAAGGGTGGAATGTCCCCATCTAAAACAATTTGTACATCTACGAACTTTATTAATATATGGGAATATCTTACATTTGTCCTTCCATACATATATGTAGGAAGGCAGAAGGTTTGACGAAAAAACCACCTTAACAGAAGTTGAATCCTTCAATTCATTACTGGATCTATCACGGAATTTGAGTCTCTCCAAAGAGCAGATCTCAATCGGGTCACCCGGCCACGAAATACATTCTCGTATTTCATCAATGGAAAGAGAGGGGTCTACGTCCCTAATCACCCCAACTCGGAAGATCTTGTAATTCGGAGCGTAAGCCAGCAGTCCGGGCGGAAGGATATCTTTGCTAGATAAAAAATCGTTCGCCTCTACGTACGAGGAAAAATCAACGCATATTAAGCTCCGACCTAATCCTCGAATCGAATCAACGCTGCTATATTTTGCGCATAATAATTTGCCTATGATCATTGGATGTAAATTACCTATATTCTGAGAGGTCGAGAGAGACTCTATATGGACCGGATAAGGTGCAATGATTGAATCCGAGTATCTATTATTCTTTTGTGAAAGCAAAAATTTCTCCCTACCGGAAGATTGGCACTTACGGGGGAGTGACTTATTCATATCCAGGGAAGAATCTCTCTCATTCTCTGGATCACTACGGCGCCGTTTAACGGCGTTTCTGTCCTTGGGCAATTTTCGGTTCATGTTCTTCGGCATTCTATTATTGATATACAAGTCAGAGAGGAATGTAAGCGGCACACAAACGAATCCGTAAACCGGGCAATATAAAGTAAATATAACAACACTCCAGCGGAAAATTTAACTAAACGCCCTAATAACATAAGATACGCAGGAGGGATCGCAAATTACCAAATGAAAAGATATGATGTACATTTATTCGCAAAATATATAAGTAATGGTGAGTCTTAAAACGTAGACATTTAATGACAAAAAACGCAAAGTATTCCTGTCGCGGTGAAGGAGTAATATAAAGTAAATATAATAATGAGTAAATAAGGTCGAAAAGACGTAAATAGAAAGTGTCGATGGAATCTGAAGGTAAGCACTAAATATTAAAAGAAAGAAATACGCTGAATAATCGTACGCTAACTACATACATATGCCAAAAATGCGCATTACTATAAAGTTAATACTAAGCAATAATTAAAGTACCGTTGGAATGCGACGATACGAATGTGATATTAAAAGCAAAAAAACGATGAATAATCATAAACTAAATACATACTTATACCAAAAACATACGCATTGCTATAAAATTAATACTGTGAGCATTAATAGATGAATAATCGTGTTCAACGGCATAAATATTCTCGTCGCGATGAAGGATAATATAAAGTAAATATAATAATGTGTAAATAAGGTCGAAAAGACGTGAATAGAAAGTGCCGTTGGAATGCGGCGAGCGATATTCGTACATATACCACAGAGAATACGCATTGCTATAAAATTAATACTGTGGGCATTAATAAATGAATAATCGCGTTCAACGACATAATTGTAGTTAAGAAATACATATAAAGGGACGAAGGGGCGCAAATGAAAAGTACCGTTGAAATACAGCGATACGCACTTAGTATTAAACACAAGAAAACACACTAAATAATCGAGAACCAACTATATACATATCACCGACTATATAAATTGCAATAAGGCAATACTGCGAATATTACTTATAAACAAGCAAATAAACTCAAATTAATTTCACATTAATTTATCGATGTTGAGTAACACGTCAGTGACTCAAAACGCGTACGAAAGAAAGAAACGAAGAGATCAATAATCAAGAGGCTGTAATTATATTAAAATATCTGATTAATACTTCGCCTTATGACCCACCCTCCCAGGAGAATAATCATATATTAAGGACGTTCTCCGATGGCAGTTGTGCTCAACTCAGACGCACGGAGTAATGATATGGTTGACAACTACTTCCGTGCGCAAAAGTCTGAAACTCGTCTAGCCGCGCAGCTTTACTCGATCTGGCAAATTTTTGTTTCGTTTCCATTTCTCCAAATCATAAATGAGTACGTCCTACTTGTTTTATTGAGCATTCTAAAAGTAAATAATAATGAATTATAAAGAAAAAAGATTAAATAACTTGATTTAAATAACGTTGCCCATAAGATCTTGACGTTCTCTACTTAACCTATATGTCGCAGCGGTAGCAACGTTGCCAAGTCTCGCAGTGATCTCTCCCTCTCCCTGCCTCCGAGCAGACGAAAATTATGTCCGATAGTATTCTTTAGACGACTATTTCTCAAAAATAAATACCGCTTGCTATATCGAACTTTATTGTCACACGTTACTAATAATATGAAACATCTTATACTATTTTTTCAAAAAAATTCTAAGAAAACTGTACTTATTATTCATTAAAATGTCCGTGTCGAGAGCTCAACATAGGGATCCCGTGTTAAAAATTGGAACTTTGAAGCTAAATATCTCAAATTTTAGTACCGCAAGGGGCATTGACTAAAACGCCTACGTATAAAACGCGTTTAATTAAACATATACTGAAAGTTTAAGAAAATTTCTAAGGAAACGATTTTGCCGGTGAACGTCCTTAAACAATCGATATATTCCATGTAGAAGGTCAATCCACAGGTGTTCAGCAATGTTTCGTCGTTATCGGAAGCGATCGTTCGTCCTCGTAGAGGTATAGACCAATTATCCAGTTATCCAAGAAAACTCAATATTGTTCCATAATAAAAGTAAGATAACGAAGTCCGCCGCTCGTTATAGGCAGGAGAGCACACGTGTGACCACGGTGGCTGCTCACGACGAAATCGAGGAGCCTGTCCACTGTCCACCTGCTTACTCTGCACCGGGTTGCTCGCGTTCTTGTGCGCATGCGCTCGTGTATGCTGCCCGCTCGTCGATTTGGTTGGTACGCATGTAACGCGGCGGGATCGAGTCACATACGGGGCTGCGAGGAAGACTTCTGGCGCGCATGCGCCTTTCATTGAACTTGGTTGGCGGCTGCGTTGCGGATAGCGGGAGCTGGGTTTCCGAGAAAAAGTAGGAAACAGGACCAGAAGGTGGGGGATCACCTCGAGCATACGCCGAGACGAGATGGAAGACCCCGTAAACCCGTCTGATAAAGAAGAGAGGTGTTGCACTTCTACCGATGGTAACAACAAGCCAACGGATACGGATAAAACGAGTGAAAAGAAAGGGGTAGGAAAGCAAAAACCCTCAAAAACGAAACCCGGTACAAGAGAAAAGTTTAAGTCTAGGAACGGAAAGATTGATGATATGTTGCATAAACAGGCAGTAAAAGAGGACATTTTTAAAAGGAGTGCAAGGACTACCAGATCTCCAGCACGTAGAACGGGAGATCAAAGGATAGGCCAAGCACAGACACACGGGAAAGATGAAGAAAAAGGAGAAGAGGAGGAGGAAGATATAAAAGTTGCTTTTAAAAGTGTGATGGAAGCGCTTTGCAGTATGACTCAGGAGAATAAGTTGCTAAGAAAAGAATTAGAAGAATTAAGGAATGAAGTGAAAATGGGAGCGTACACAGAGATTCATGAAATCAAAAAAGAACTTGATGAGATGAGGAAGGAGATAAGAAATAATGCTCAAGCAGAAATAAATGCTATAAAGGAGAAGCTCCAAGAAGTCATGGAAGAAGCTGACCGTTGGAAGATGAATCTGAGAGAAGAGAAAAACAGAATGTCTGACGAAAGGATGACGGGTGAACAGGACACTCATATAAGCCTAAACACAGAAGAGATAAAACAACTAAGAAGAATATTGGAGAATAATGACAAAGAAGAAAGGAAAAACAACATTGTAATTAAGGGACTAAAATCGGGAGAAGACGTGAAGGAGGATACAAAAAATTCTTGAAGAATTTGACGGGTAATGAGTGCACGTTAGTATGGACGAGAAAAGTAGGTAAAGACGAGAAAAATATGATTGTAGCGAAAATAGGGAGCTGGGAAGAAAAGCAAGCTATAATGAAAAAGAAGAAACATCTCAAAGACGAAATGATAGGCAACTCAAGAATATTTATAGACCATGATTTATCCCAAAAAGAAAGGAAGATACAAAACGAAATTTTGAAGAAAGTAAAAGAAGAGAGAAGTAAAGGTAAAATTGCAAAATACGGATACCAGAAGATAAACTTAGAAGGAAAATGGTTCAGGTGGTCTGAGATTGCAGGAAAAAATTTCTAAGAAAGCCACGAAATAAAGACCCAAGAAAATATAGATTGTTATTCTGGAATGTGGCAGGTATTAAAAGAAAAGACTCAGATTTTTGGAATTTTATTGAACAATACGATTTTGTGGGATTGACAGAAACATGGACAGAAGAAAAAGACTGGACAAAAATAAAGAAGATTTTACCAAAAGGTTTTTTATGGAAGTGCCAATTTGCAAGAAGAGTAAAGAAGAAGGGAAGAGCGATGGGCGGAATAATCACAGGCGTAAGAACAGAGTTGGCAATGTTAAACGAAGTTTCACTTGACCTGGAAGGAATAGTAAAAAGGAAGATAAAAATGAATAAGGACGTATGGAGAGCAGTAACGGTGTACAACAGAGAAAAAGCTAGTGCCTTAAACGAACAGTTATTGGACAAATTAAAAGTGGAGGAAGAAGGTATTCTGATAATAGCAGGAGATTTTAACGCAAGAACAGGAAGAGAAGGGGACGTGATTGTGGATGGAGAGATAAAGAAAAGAGTAGCAAAAGACAGAAGAACGCCAATGGTGCTGAGTTACTGAAGATGGTGGAAGAAAGAAGCTGGTGCATCTTAAATGGCAATAAGGAGGGCGATGCTAAGGGAGAGTTTACTTATGTGGGAGTCAAGGGCGAAACGATAATCGATTATGCTTTAGCAAATACAGAGGCTTGGGAAAGAATAGAGGATTTCAGAATCGAAGAAAGAGTAGAATCGGATCATCAGCCTATAACTGTGGAGGTCGAGAGCATTCATCCAGAAGAAAGAAGAAAGAAAATAGAAAAAGAAATTGAGTTGAGGCGATGGGATAAAAAAGGTGTAGAACAATATGTCAAAAATCTAGAAAATATTACTCTGGAAAAGACAAAAATAAATGAGAGCTGGGTAGAACTAAAAGGAAATGTAGATAATTGTCTAGTCAAGAAGAAGCTGAAGATAAACAGAAACAGAGCGGACATAAGTTTGAGATGGGATAGGAAATGTACAAGAAAGAAGAGGGAAATTAGCAGAACGATAAAGAAGTGGAGAAAAGGAAAATGTACCAGACAAGAATACTTAAATAAGAAAAAAGAATTAAAAGAGCTAGTAGAAGAAAAGGAGAAAACAAAGAAAGAAAAACTAGTGAAAGAAGTAAGGAATATAAAATCAGAAACTGAGGCCTGGAAATTCATAAATAAATTCAGGAAAAAGAAGAACAACGCTTACGTTGTTGAAAACATAGAACCAGAAACATGGAAAAGGCATTTTATGGAATTGCTAGGAGGAGAGGAAAGAAAAACAGAACCAACAAGGAGAAGGAAGATAGAAGAGGATGAAAAACCGGAATTGACGGATGAGGAAATTGAAAATCAGATCAGCAGGAAGCTAAAAAAAAAGAAAGCGGCAGGAGAAGACGGAATACCAAATGAAGCATGGATTTTCAGTCATGGTAAGGTTAGAAGTAAACTTAAAGAAATTATAAGAAGAGTGTGGAACGGTAAAGGCTTCTCTGAGGACTGGAAAAAAGGGATGATTTATCCACTGCACAAAAAAGGAGACATGGAAGAAGTAAAGAACTATAGAGGTATAACATTGCTTAATACGGCATATAAGGTATACGCATCAATCCTGGCTGAGAGATTGAAAACACAAATGGAGAACGATAAATTATTACCTGAGACACAGGCGGGATTTCGTAAAAACAGACGAACGACAGACAACATTTATATTTTGCAACATCTCGCGGAAAGAGAGTTAGAGAAAGGTAGCAAGCTGTTTGGTTTCTTCGTTGATCTAAGGGCAGCCTTTGATAAGGTGAATCGTCCGAAGTTGTGGCAGTCCCTGGAACGGAGGAGAGTAAGGAAAGGTTTAGTAGAAAAGCTGGTGGAGATATACGAGGAAACAATAGCAGAGGTTACAATAAACGGGGTAAATACAGGCAAATTTTGGCAAAAGGAAGGAGTCCGTCAGGGCTGCCCTTTAAGTCCAATTCTGTTTGCACTATTTACGGCGGATCTGGAGGAGCTGGAAAGGAGAGGAATAGGAGGAATAGAGGTCGGTAAGGAGAGAATATTCTGCCTGGCATATGCGGACGATGTGGTGATTATAGCGAAGAATAAAGAAGCTATGGAGGATATGATGGCCTCTCTAAAGAAGTATTTGAAACGAAAAGATCTAATTTTAAATAGTGAAAAATAAAAAATCCTGGTGTTCGAGAGAGGGAGAGGAAAAAGGAAGCAAAGAACTTGGAGATGGGGCAATGCGGAAATCGAAGAGGTTAAAGAGGTCAAATATTTAGGATATATGTTTAGAAAGAATGCGGAGCATAACAAACACATAGACGAATTAGTTAGAAAGGGAGGGTTCGCGATGCGTCAGATTTGGGGGTTTGGAGAGAGAAATTTTAGGGCTGTTTCAACTAGAGTCCTAGATTAGTAGAGAGACGCGAACTTTACCCCTACTTTGCTGCCGTCGCCATCTTGTGCTCGTATACCCGTACGATATTAATCTACTATGACGACTGTACTAGGACTGTACCCCACCTTGCCGCCGCCACTATAGAGCCCATGGTGCCTTTACTTTAGCCAGCGTAATCAGTGCTGTCTACTAAAGTAAGTATTTATTTTTCGTTGCAGTTCGATATCTGTATCGACATTACATCAATTTTTATGTAAGAAATGAAGTGCATCGAACGTGACATTTTCGAATATTGAGAGACTTGTTGCTCGTTCGAAGTTAGGCTCCTACCAAGTTTTACGCTTTTCAATAATTTTCTTCTGTGCAGAGAGAAAGAGCAAGTTGTTTTGCTGTCATATCAGCGAACCTGTTGGTCCATTTCTGAATATGTGTGAGGTAAATTCAGTCTTTTTATCTCAAATAAATTACAAATTTCCGCTGAACCTAGTACTGTTACGTACTTAACCTTGATCTTTCTGCAGAGCTCCAATTTAAATCTCATCTCTGCTCCATCGTCTAAGGCGGATGAAATACAGTATCTCAAGTTCCAGACCATAATAGTGGAAGAAAAATTAAAAAATCTTTAAGAGCAGTATAACAGTGACTTTGCTACTTTTCAAAAAAATGGTTTGTGAGACCTAATGTACACGTAATGAAGCAGGAGCTATACGTTGGCAAGTGCTTGCTAAAGGTTTTGAGGTATAAAGGAGTTTGTAAAGAGTCTTAGGTCCAGTTTCACAAGTGTCGGTTAACTTCTAACCTTAGATTAACTCACTCTTTGTCTCCTAACGTCCTTCTTAAAAAGAAACAGGTTAAAAGTTAACCGACATAAAAGTAGGCCTTAGTGTTTTGGGCTTGTTTTGTCTATAATGTAATTATAAACGGATTAATTGTATATTTATAATTAATAATGTAATAATATTTTCGCATTAATATTCGGACATCATAATACTTGGAAAAAAAAATTAATTCGTATATTTATTTAAGAAATTTTTTGTTTTTTTTTAGTGAGTTGAAGCACAAAATGATACCCTACAAAATATTGAACAATTGAAGTTATAGTAATTTAATTCATATGTAGATATAATTTATACAAAAATATATTTTTTGGTAAATGTCCGAATATTAATGCAAATCACTATATATATAATTGTTCTGATTTTGAAATAAATTATTATTTTTACAATATATTCTTTATTTTATGTAAAGCCGCCATTTTAGAATTGTATACCGGAATTAGACGCAAACTCTACCCCCACCTTGCCGCCGCCGCCATCTTATGATCATAAGCTCTGCTGTCTATTGGTCTATAACCGACCAATCAGAAGGAGAAACAAGTTCGCGTCTCTCTACTAATCTAGGACTCTAGTTTCAACAACCCATAGTAACGCCCGTTGCTAAGGACGCTCCGTGGCGGAAAATATCGGGCGAAGCTGACGAACTCAGCGCGTGTGTAACACTGCCCTCCCGTTAGATTGTCGTCCCAACAATCCGGAAGGGCAGTATTTAGGAGGTTCCACTTTCTTCACAGGCTCCAGGGCTTTGAAGCGTACCTCGCCCTATCCCGAGCTGTTGCTACGGAATACCGGGCTTCGTCTCCTCTGCGGCGAACCTGCCAACCAGGACTTCTTGTCCTCTCTTCGTTCCTCACCGTTACGGAAAGAGTTGGCCAGGCTTTCTCCCTCTCCGGCTTTCATGAACTGGAACTCCGTTACATGTTCTTCTCGACGTGGTTCTTTTCGCCGCCGCTCTGCCTCTCCGCCGCAAATGCCGCCCCACGGAAGTCTTCGGACAACGAGGGGGGGGGGGTAACTTCCTGAGGACCCATCGTCTCTAACCGAAATGTCTGTTCGTATGCGGACTCTCTTAGTCCCTGCCTCGGCATTCGCCCTAGTCCTTTGGAAAATCCTCAGTTACAAAAACCGTGGGAGAGGCAGTCTTCTTTTAACCAAAAACCGAATGGTCTTAGGATAACACTGAAGACTCCAGTCCGTATTCTTCAGGAAGCTCTCTCAACGGATTACCTTCTTGTAAGAAACGAAGATTCTCCCTTAAACACAAAAAAGCAATACATGCAGTAACACTTAACAACTTAAAAGAAAAATTTTCCTAACGATAAATTGGGTTCCGATTTCCTTAACTACTTCCTACCGTTCTTTCATAAAAAGGGGCTAACCTATCCGCATGTATTACCCTCTTTCTATGTCTGGAGGATCTTTGAATGCAAAATACCACATCACTTAATCTTCTTACAATTAGAAAAGGGCCATTTCAACTACTCTGCAATTTCGGGGCCTTCCCCTTTTCCCTTCGAGGATTATAAAACCGCATTTTTTGATTTTCTCGAAAAAGGTTCTGCCTGGTTTTTCCACGATCATACCAGGTTTTCACTCTAGAAGATTTAATTTCTAACCTATCTTTAACCACGGAATGAATCTCCTCCAACTTTTTTCTTAGTCTTTTGATAAAACCGCCCTCCGACTTAAGACTCTCCTCCCGAAGTACCGGAGGACTGCCTCGCAATAAATCCAAGGGCAACCTAACATTCCGGGCACAATACATCTCAGGAGTTACGTCCGTGGTCTCATGTTTTGAAGATCTGTAAGCCAAAAGAAATAAGGGGATCCACCTATCTCAATCTCTTTGATTTTTGAAAATATATTTGGCTAAGTAGTTTGTAATCGTTTGGTGTTGTCTCTCAAACTGCTCAACAGACTGCGGATGCAACGCGGTGGTCCTGGTCTTTTTAATTCCGAGAAGTTCCATCACCTCTGCAAAAAGATTTGATTCAAAATTCTTCCCCTGATCCGTATGGACTTCCTAGGGGACCCCATACCTAGAAACAAACTGATTAACGAAAGTTTCAGCTACTATTTTTGCTCTCATATTTCTCAAAGAAAAAGCTTCTACCCACTTGGTAAAACAGTCTACAATGACTAACTGATATTTATTTCCAGACTTGCTCAATGAAAGAGGACCGAGTATGTCTATCTGGACCTTTCCAAAAGGAATCCCGACATTGTAGATCTATAATGGGGACTTTCCTTTCCCCGATGGTCCTTTTTTCGAAACGCAGATCTCACAAGATCTATACCAGTCTTCTCGTTTGCAAGTGGCTTAATAAAACCGCTTTCGAGTTTTCTCAAGGGTCTTGTTGACCTCAAAATGTCCTCCCGTTGAAGAATCGTGAGCCTCCTCTAAAATCTGTTTAATTTGTTTCCGAGGAACAATGAGCTGATAAACCCTGGATTTTATATTAGGAGCCTCCCATATCTTATAGAGAACTCCACTCTTCAAAACAATTGCGTTCCAATAGGAAAGGTAAATCTGAGCCGAAACGTCTCTTGTCGAAATCTCAGATCGTGACGGCTGTACCCCCGTTTCCTTGTCTTTGTAAATTGTTGCAATACTTTGATCCTCTAGCTGGTCTTTTTTCCATTCATCTAAGGTTTCTCCCAGCAAAATTATTCGCGCGACTGTCTTCTCCGACTCGACTGTGTTCTTCTCCTCTACTTTTGCGCCAAACGTACAGCCATCAATTTTGCACTGACGCCTGGATAATCCATCGGCGTTTCCGTGCAAAAGACCTTTACGATAAACAATCTCAAAATCATATTGTTGGAGTCTCTCCAACCAGCGAGCTAATTGTCCCTCTCAGTCCTTGAAGGACATGAGCCATCTAAGGGAAGCGTGACCTGAACAAATGATAAACTTGTGCCCCAGAAAGTAATGTCAAAAAGATTTAACCAAGTGGACTATCGCTAGCAACTCACGACGAGTAACACAATAATTCTTTTCCGTTATATTTAGCATACGGCTGAAGTACGCGATAACCTTTTCTAACCCCTCTTGCATCTGGGATAACACCGCACCAATCCCGATTAGAAGCGTCCGTGTTCAACACGAACTCACCTTCCTCTCTCGGGAAAGAAAGTACGCGAGAGGATGTTAATACCCGCTGTGGCGGTCAGCCATCCGCCACGAGCGTGCGACAAGTAACATGGACTACGACGGAAAGCGCGCGGCGCGGGCGGCAACATGAGCTCGCGCGGCGAGAGAGTTCGGCGCGCGCCCGCTACGCGGCGCATCGCTGGTTCCTTTTCTCGTAAGGAAGATTTGGCATCGACCCCTATAACTGGGGCAGCTCAGCGGGGCTTCTCCAGCGTTTAGCTCACCAGTCAGGGCGTGCTACTACCAGGGCCCCTGACATAACCATCTTTTGATACGGAGTGCGCTCTTTCTCCAGGGCCTCCGTTTATACCTGCTTCGCAGGGCATTAACTTTCCTCGGTAAGAGTCGACAGACTCCCTGCCGTGGAAAGGTTTCCTGGGTCATTACGATCCAGCTCGTCGGACAACACCGAGACCAAGGCGCTGCCTTTTCCAACTACAATTCCGACTCCGATTCCTGTACCTGAGGCCAAGACGAAGGGTCTGTTCCTGATCTCCAAGGTGGATACTTTCCTCCCGTGAAAGCCACACCTCATCGACCGGCCAATCCGAGTACCACGCATCCAGCTCCAACCGGAGCACTCTGTGGTGACGCACATACTGGCCTCGTCTTCAAGGACTTCAAGACTTCTCTCCAAGCTTGGCCTCCTCGAATCTGACTGTTTGGGACGAATCATACACAACACACCACATTAACGCTACACCGTGATTTCCTACACAAATCACACACGTCCACCTATTCCGTACACATCCAAGAAATAGTTTACCTGTACATAGAGCATGAATAATCCTAGCGAGATTTTATCTAACTGAACGATTCGTTATTGTGGAAACCGACGCACCTTCACCTAATCTCCTACCCCACACCCGCTTTAAATTCTCAAATGAGTCCTGATACTTCTCCCTTCAAATAAATTTTACTTGATTTCCGGTAAGCACGAAGAGGGGTTTCGCTAAAGAAAAGAAACCTTTTACGATCTTTCGATAATAAGAACAAAACCGAGAAAACTGCGTAATTGTCTTTTGGAATGGGGGACCGGCCATTCCTTTACAGCGGAAATCTTATCGGGGTCTGTAGTAACGCCTTCTGCCGAAACCACATGTCCCAAATATTTAACCTTTCTTTCAAAAAGTACACATTTTTTAGGATTGATTTTTAAATTAGCCAAACGTAATCGAGAAAATACTTCTTTCAAATTCTTTAACATTTTTTTAAAACTTTTTCCAAAAATAATAACATCGTCTAAGTAAAACAAACACATAATAATTTCCGTAGAACTTTTTTCATCAAACGTTTAAATGTGGCGGAAGCGTTGCAGAGACCAAATGGCATTACGACAAATGCCATAATCCATTCCCGATAGAAAAAGCCGTTTTCTCGCGATCTTCCGAGCGGATCTTAATTTGCCAGTATCCGCTCTTTAAATCCAAAATAGAGAACCAAATATTACCTGATAATTGGTCCAGGATGTCGTCAATCCTGGACAAGGGAAAAGAATCCTCTGCAGTTACCTTGTTAACTTTCCGAAAGTCGATACAAAAACGGATTGATCCATCCTTCCTTTTGGCAAGAACGACCTGAGAAACCCAAAAGCTATGCGACTC